CTAGTTGTTTGTGTGCCAACCCACAAATGTTGTGGTACTGCTGGCTTTGTTTAGGTTCAATGTTGAACCAAAAACGTTTGTTGGTTGGCACACAAGCAATTAGGGCATGGCAAGTCATGTACTTGGTATTAGGAAGCGAGACAGGATAGACGAGGCGGCGATTGGAGCTAGTTGGCTGACAGTAGGTTTTTCGTTTACAAGCTGGTTTCCAAGACAATCAGCAGATCATATATTTGATCTACACTCATCCTATTTCGCTCAAGAACAAAGACAAGAAAGTGGCCGATTGTAATCCCACCTACTTCGTATGGCCTAACTTGGCCTATTTAAGTAAGCTTTGTCCACACAGACAAGAGATTGCAGGTGATGCGTGAAGTGATGGTGGTTGTGACCGAACGGCCAAAGCCTCACAAAAATCACATGTTGTGTAGATCATGCTATGTTGAGGCATGTAATGTGTATGAGATGTATTCACCAAACTGCGTCAGGGGGATGAAGGAATGGTAGTTGAATTTTTCCCGCCATCATATGTTCCCACTCAATTTCATATAGCCTTACTTCCCAAAAGGATGAGTAAAATTTTTGTGAAGCAAGGCTATGTGAAATTCAGTGGAAAAATAGAGTATACTCAAATGATTGCGGAAAAAATGCAACTACTATTCCTTCATCACCCTGACGAAGTATGGTGAATACATCTCATACACATTACATGCCTCAACATTGCAGTATCCACACAACATGTGATTTTTGTGAGGCTTTAGCTGTTTGTTCACAACCACCATCACTTCACCTGCAATCACTTGCCTGTGTGAAGAAAGCTTACTTAAATAGGCCAATTTAGGGATTACAATCGGCCACTTTGTTGTTTTAGTACTGGAGCCAGATTTCCCAAATAATACATTGTCCCACGCTCCGACACTAACTAACATGACGAGATCGTATTCGTGGGGCGATTCTGCGAGAACTACTTTTCACAAATATACAGCCGCAACTTCGGTGCAATCAATCCTCACTCGGTTTCGGATGAAGCCAACTTACGAATGGATCCATTCTACGCGCATTACTAAATGAGACTAAAACTTTGTTGGGGGGACTTTCATTTCGTATGAAAGTGCATGAAGGAGAGATTCGTAGGTCGATCTCACCAGAAGAGAAGGTTGTACTGCAGCCTTTTGGCTTTCATACGACGTTCAGGTTGACGCAGTCCATCATATGATGGACATCATCAGAGCTGGGTGTCATTCCTCTAAAAGTCGCACGTTACCACTAAGGTGTGAACCTGAACGTTGTATAAAAGCCAAACGGTTGCAGTACAACGCGATTTAGCCTTCCTCATCCGGTGAGATTGACCTACGAATCTATTCTTTAAGCACTTTCACACGAAATGAAAGTCCCTCCAACAATATTATCTCAGAAGATTCATCGAAACCCAGTTTTTCTTCTTTAACACAGTATCAATAGCCTCACCTTGGCCATCAGACAGAGCGGCGACAGGCAGGAGCATCAGTCGCCTCGGAGACAAAATAAAGACCCTCGTTTTCTACCCATGAGTATCGCAAACATGTAAGCTACTCTCGAACTCCGCATAGCATAGAAATAGTGCACGAACTTTAATTATAATTTAGACGTTTACGTTGAGGTTATCACAAAATACTCAGTCGGCCTCATGATTTGCCCAATATCTACTGGAAAGCTATTTCAACCACGCCTCACTGTCGCATCTTCGACCCCAACTAGATTGCACCATGGCAACAGGCTACCACTCTACTGCCACGCCGAGGATGCCAGTGGGTCACAGGTCAGACGATGATGAGGTATACTTTTATTTACTATTGCAATCGATGACATTACTTATTGGGGAGACTTTGATTTTGCATGCAAGAGCATGAAGAAGAGATTCGTATGCTTCATAACCTGACTTACATGCTTACAAGACCAAATCTTATTGTCGCAACCATGGTTACAGATGGACATATGCAGTCTCGGTCATGGCTTTTTCTTGGGTCATTAAGCCTTTTTGACCAGAGACTAACGTTAGCCTTTTTGATTACTCTGATTTAGGACTGGTAGCGACTATAAACGTTAACACACACACACACACACACACCTTCATTCGAGAAAAAGTAGACGTATGAAAGATAATTAGCCAAACAATCCTATATCCATCCATGCCTGTTCATTTTTCGTTTTTGGTTATGATTATTTATAAGAGGTAAGATATAGTCGGCTAGTCTTCTTGACCTCGTGCTGCTAACGTTTTAGTCTTTTACAAGAATGAATTCCGGCTCTAATGATGTCCATCACATGATGGACTAAAATTACGTCCTATCAAAGCCAAATGACTACAGTACGACTTGAATCAGCCGTCGTCTTCTGGTGAGATCCACCTTTCAATCTCTTCTTCATGCACTTTCATACCTAATGAAAGTCTACCTAACAATGTTATCTCAAGAGATTCATCGAAACCCAGTTACTCTTTGTATCTACATTATTTATATTCAGATTAAACAGGCTTTGCTACTATTAAAAGATCTTGAACAAGAGCTATGTCACAGTGAAGTTTTCTCATCATCTCATCTAAGCTGAACTGGACTGAAATTTCAATCTCGCCCGAGTCGCATTAACATGCTCGAGAGGAATCGAACCAGGCTAATATGGCCTGTATTTTCTGGATTGATAATAGTTTTTTAGATGCAAAGCCAGGCGAAAATCAACAATATCCCAAGAAAAATTCTAATTTTTACAATTTTTCTTGTAATTGCATACATTTTACGATTATAATCGAAATTACTAAGACCAAGATGGTGCGACCCTCGGTATAGTCGAAATCTACTTTCGACGTATAGAAGCGTACCGATCTCGTTTTCGCAAATTGGTCTTGTTGTCAGAGCGACTTAGCTGGAAGCACCGTGTCCGAAGTCATTTCTCATAGTGGTTATCATAATCTCCAGCATCAGATCGTGGACATGGTACATTCTCATCAGATTTGAAGCTTGGTGCTGAGAATGGCACCTGAGAATGATACCGACTACGATGGCGGTGAAACGTCTGAGAATCTACCAAGTCCATGATAACTGCTATGACGGACGACTTCGGACAAGGTGCGTCCAACTAAGTCGCCCTGACAGCAAGATCAAGTTGCAAAAACGAGGTCAGCCGGATTAGTTACAATTACACTTTTAATTAAATGCCTCATCGCCCGGCCCAGCGGATCAACGTCTGCAAGTATCACTCCTTCATCACATTAAACGACCGAGGATGAATTCAGCTTTTGGTTAAGATCCACCGAAGCTGTTGAGCCTACAAGCATGTATTTGCCGCTTCATTCGGCTTCAATACCTGCTCGTTTGAGACGAGGATGATCCGGCAAATGTGGGTGGTGGGTGGCGCGAACCACTCGTTGGGTCGTCGGGACGCAAATGGCCGGTCTTCCGAGGGGAAAAAGGCCAAGCCGGGACATGAGACGTCGAGCGAAGAATGTCGACCCGAGGGAGGGCGGTTGCGAGGCGAGCCTTTGCGGGTTGCCTCGGTACATTCCCGACCAATAGGCAGAGATGAGCCCGTCTCACTGACCCAACTGCCCATTTGACCCGGGGCCAAAAGAGGCCCGTCGATGAGTCGCTATGCCTCATCGCACCGGACACTTTCTCTGTTTCCCCGCATCGCTGGAGGTCGAAGTGGACAAGATGTGCTGATAAGAGGCAGATTGGGACAACCACATGTGGCTGGGCGAGTGTGAAAACCGAGCGAACTGGTGAGAAATCGGGGCACCTGAGGGGACAGACCAACATGAACTGTACGAGAGGAGAGGCGACAAACAGACGCGAGAAGAATGTGGTTCATATCGTTATTTGTGTGCGTCGGAGGCGGATGATTGTTTCCGGCTCGGGCAGGGTGATGTGTGCGAGTGTGTGTGTGTGTTTGTGCACCCGAGTCATCGGCATTTTATCTGCTCGAAAGGCGGACGAGAGGAGGTAGACAATAGCGTCACCTGTACAAAAGTGGCTGGTAAGAGTCCCGCTTCAGTCGTACAGTCATGCCCGTCTCGTCGGCGCGAACAGCGCATGCACGAGTCCCGCGTCTTCAGGAAAGTCGGCCGATCAGGTGACAATAATTGGGCAATTGGATTCCGCCTGATCGGGCTGGCCGAAAAATCGCGAGGGGGGAGGATGCTCGAGATCTGCCGAGTTCACGAGGAGGGGATTTGTCCTTCGACCTTTGTTGGTGTGTGCAAACAGGCATTTTATGTCTCATCGCCATGCCCAGTTCAGCTGGACACACCCTTATACCACCACCCAACT